GGTAATTGGATGTTGGTTGGGTCAGTTCGGTTAAGTTTTGGTCGGTTCTGGACTGTCATCCGAGAACAGACCGATTCAATTGGATGTTGAAAATTTCAATCCAATCTGATCCAATTATAGTCGGTCGATTCTAATTGGGTCGTTCGGATCAGTTGATTTTTTGCATCCCCCTACTCAAATACAAGACAGATCCTGGGTTGATTTTCAGCTGTTGGGTGAGCCAAAAATGCCCCCTTGCATTAATGTCCTTGAAGGTGGATTTCGTTTGAAGCCGGTTGAGGTTGTCAGTAATCAACATTTTACCAAATACTTAAAACTTAATGCAACAATGAATACATTCACCTACTAATACTCCCTACCCAAGTGAATAAAACTCTTGTCCCAAATCCCAACTTCTCCTTGTCTATCAATATATAGTCAATTTACCAACAGCAACAAAAATTCGCTTCAAATCCCAGTCAAAATTATAGTTATAATTGTCGGTCTTACACTTTGTATGACCATTTTGTATTCCAACTTACGTCCAAATCCATTTTATGAACAAAATTGGTAGAATAATACTTGTAAAGTCGAAGCATTAGCCTCCCACTATTCCCATATGGTGTTCATCATCCTTGTTTTTTAATCTTTATTTTGTAAAAAAAGGCATTCTAGATAATCCTCATGGATAACTGGATTCGTGTCAAAATGTTCATAGCATAAAAAGTACATTGATTTATGTTGATGTTCGTATAGCGAACTGGCTGAAAGTTGCATCTTCTGCGACATTTGTAGGTTCTGAAAGTATGCCTTTAGTACTTGTCATATAAAATACATGTTTTGTTCAGTGAAATTTTGCGATGCCATACATTCTTTGATTAGATTTAAATGATTAATGCCATACATCTAAGATAATACCACTGATAATCGAATCTGATATTACAAACTATATATCTGTATAAATTAACAGATATGGAATTTTTTCAACATCTTATTATAACCTTTATTAACAGGTATATGCAAGTGATGCATAAATACAAATATGCACAAGTGAAAAATTAATATTGCTCATATGAAATATAATTAATTAATAATATTTATTTTTAGGCAAAGTAATATTTTGGTAATTAAATTTATGGTATAAATTTGGTAAAAATAAAAAAAAATTACATTAATTTCTATCCAAAATTAAATGAAAATAATGATGTAGCTTTAAATAGGGATTCTTTTTGCAGAAATGAGATCCACTTTGAGAAAAACAAAAGTTGAAGGGTTGGTGATATATTTCAAGACTTATTCAATATTAACTCATCACAACTATAAGAGTGATGTTTGATTGGTTTGAGTTTGAGCTTCAAATGTCAAAATTCTTTTGTGGCCATGAAGATTCAAATGTGATGATTCTGGGCTATCCGTGAAACGAATAGTTGTACTGGGATTAGTCAGCTTGCACAACGAGTTGGATATCCAAATTAATCATATATATATATATATATATATATATATATAAAACCATCACTTATACATTAATCATTTGTTTTTCTTAAAATATACAAAAATAATAATATTTTTTTAGGATAAGCGATTTTAAATAAATATGAAGAATTATTTTGGCTTCATAATATCTTCAAAATTCTCCATTCATTTTCACAAAATTAATTGTTGGTTTGTAAGATAAAAAATAAAATACAATAATATTTATTTTCGCAAAAATTGTATTAAAAAGTTTGGCTTATGTTTATTTTTGTAAGTCATTTTTTTAATTAACGCGGTAAAATCTGATTTGTCATTGTGTTGTATGTGGAGAACTTGAAATTCCAATTTTCAAACAGTATAATAGAGATACTGCAAAATCCAATTGATATGATATTTTCAAATAAACAAACTGATAATTTTAAAACGGAAATTCAAGAATCAGACATATTGATATACTAAATGTAACCAGTAATTAGTAAAACAATAAGGAATAAGTAAATGACAAATCAAATAATCAATAAAATCGAGTTAGGACAAATCAAATCATCAATAACCAATAAAAATGTGCTTGAATTCACTGAGTTCGGGAATTGGAAAAGGGTATCGTGTCTTTAGTCTTCAAAGTAGGAATTTGTCCCAAATAGGAAGAGGGAAATACGTTTCATCACTTTATGAAGACTACTATGCTTATCGAATTAATAAGCAATAGGCACTCAAAACAAGTACATGTTCGAGCATCATTAACATCTATAGCATACCTCCCTTTCACGAATTGCTGCATTTATTCGAGTGATCCACAAACGACCCCCGGACCTCCCGGATCCCACGAGTGAATCGAAATAGGCCAAGAGAGTGGGAACAATTTTACTTAGGTTTTGCATATTTAAAAACTTCGTAAACGCCCTACAAACATAGCGGATGAACATCTTGAAAGATTTCAAAGCGTCAAGTAGACGGAACGGATGGACGTACACCTCTCTTACGTAAATCCACCAGTGAAATCTCTAACACATTTACAAGTGTGCATACTCATGCCAATATCCAAATGAATACATATGTAATATTTAATGTCATAGATATTTGTGAATATTAGTTTAGACTTGGGTCAGATGGAAAAAAAATTATTCTTATGAAAAACTTGAGAAATATTAAAGGTATTCTTATATTGTGTGAATATTACGTTATGTTTTTTGAAGATGGTAGACTTGAAATGTGAATTGAAAATAACTTGAATGCGGTAACCGTGATATGGCTTTACAGAGTACAAAGTTATATTCACATCTTTTACGGTAAGTTTACATTATACACATGAAGGTTTAGATTTCTTACACTTATTAGGAAAATGGGTATGTCTCAGGAGAACCCACCATATTAATATATTACTCATAGTATATGTATATGTATATGCATATGTGAATACATGTATGGTGGTTATTCATTAAATGAATATTTACATGTGACCAGTGGTGGATCCAAGAAATTTCTTGAGAAGGTGCACCTTTAATATGGATCAAAAGCCTATTCAGTCACGGGTTTGATTTAAGGGATAAGTCAACACAGTTTAACCCGTTGGAAAATCAATCATGTTGATTTCAGGAATAATACATTATTTTTTTTCAGATTGAATCGACTTTGACCTTTTGAGCAAAACAAAAGACTCCTTTTACACTCGACATGTTTTTAGCTGAATTTCATAGTCAGAGGAAACATGTTCGGTTTTTTGGTTGATTTCATAATTTATTCCAATTTTTAGTATTTGATATTGACCTCTTTCTGTTGTCTAGGTTTTCAATTATGTTTCCTTACACATATAGAACTCCTAGTATTAAATAAAACGTTTTACAAATCAATATTAATTATGCATTTAAGATTTAAATCAATAACTAAAAACACATTACAAAACACAAACAAACCAAGAGGAAAAACTTACATTATTGGGAAAAGTTAACGATCAAGAACTTGGTAATTTACAAGAAGATGCAATTAATCAACAAAAAGTGGAAACAAATTTGGAAACGGAGATGAAATTAATCGAGTATTCAATGTGTTATTAACTTTGATTTAGGGTTCGTGAAAGTGATTTAGGATTCAAAGAGATTAGAGTAAGGGCACCCTCGGGAATCAAGCATATACACGTTCAAGACATTTAAATTTGTTTCCTTTGTAATAAGCAAGTGAACAGGTGCACAAGACCTCACTCAATCCTTGATAGATACACCCTTACATCTGACTATATTCATGGTTATCTGTATAATGTATAATCACATGTAATATATATTCATATATAAAAATACGTGCTCTAACCAACATATGTGTTCATACAAATATTATCCTTACCGAGTCATGTTATAATTCTTTAAGTCATAAAGATCCTACGTTACAATTATATACGATTGAAGATAAAAAAAAAACGTTAAGATAGGATATCAAAAGAATGGCAAAGAATCGTGTGAGAAGAGAAGTTATGGTATGAACCATAAGAAGAGATCTGAACCACTGGTCACTTTTAATCTTATGTCCATCTATGAGTTGCGTTTTAGAAGGAAACTGATCTGGTGCATCTCGATGCACCTCATTAGTGTTGACATTCAATTAGGATTAATTCAAAGATGAAGATCTTTTCGTACGTTTCTCACTATAACTTTCCTTCTCGGAACCCCACCCTCCTAACAAATATGAGTTAAGTAACTCAAATTTTACATCCTAACAATTGGTCCAAATTGATTAAAGAAGACCCAAATTTAAAGCCCAATACCGGAAACACAATAGATAAAAACCCATACGAACAATTTCCAAATTAATACATGTTCTCTATAAACATTGGTGCGAATTTTCAATGAAAATAAATTGAATAATTTAAGAGCCCATTTGGTTTGCATTTGCATTCCTTCTCAATCTAGCATTTGGTCTTAAAGAAATTCGGGAATTGAAATCCCAATAATTCAACAAAATCTCACAGAACATCATATTCGAAATTTCAACTAATATTTCACTTGTAATATTGTTTTAAAATATGTTAAAATTTATTTATAATAATTAATTAATTAATAAAAGATAATTTAATTACTTATAATTTTGTTTTTTTATAAATTATCTATAAATAATAAAATTCAATTTTATTCTCAATCCTACAAACCAACCACGCCAAAGATTTCAAATTCCTCAAAAACATTCTTCCAACAAACCCGACACCCGTTGAGGTGGCTCAACCGGTACACAAGTTACCTTAGGACACTAAAGATTTTTCGGATTATTACCTTCAATATATAATGGGATTAGTCGAGGTGCACACAGGTTAACCCAAACACCCATGATTATCATAAAAGCACACATTGCCCCAATACTAATTTTACCCAATTTAGGAAAAACAAAATAAAAATAAAAGAGTAAAGCATTTTAATTTAAGGATTTTAGAAAGTTACAAACCACAAATTGTGCCTGTGGCTAGCAGTATACTGGCAGCAGTTAGGTTTGTGTGAGAGCCACCCATTCATGCAAATTCTATCATCAACAGATGACTCATGTAACAAATAAGTATCAAGATTTGTAGCTCTACCTTTTGTGGTCATTGAGCAAACATGAATTCTTCCAAGATAACTAGTGTTCTTTTCATATTGCTTAATGTAATTGCTTTCACTTGTGTCTCATCAAACAAGGTGCCATGCCCTCCTAAGACAATGACTCCATCTGGATCAGCCAAGTGCCCAAAAGATACCCTAAAGTTCGGTGTGTGTGGTGACTGGCTTGGGCTTGTTCATGAGGTCATTGGGGCTCAACCGGATAGCGAATGTTGCACATTGATCAAGGGTCTAGCAGACCTTGAAGCAGCATTGTGTTTGTGCACAGCAATTAAGGCTAATGTGTTTGGTCTCCTTAAGGTCAAAGTGCCTATCGCTCTTAGTTTGGTGCTCAATTCTTGTGGAAAAAAGGTTCCAAAAGGCTTCAAATGTACATGATATCGTACTTCTATGGTTGGTTGGTATCTGTTTAAATAAGGATAGGCATTTTGTCAAGAGCTAAAACACCAAATCCAGATGAATGTACATGGAGAAAACAAATGTACCGTTAATCTGGATTTACTCGATTGAGGTTTAAATTGTTAAGTCATGTTTCTGTATCTGTAAACCAATCAAGTTATGAAACATTTCCATGTGTTAGTCGACCAATGATGAGCATTTCTAATTATTGTATTTGGAAATTTGTTTCTTAACAATCAGCGGATTTGCAAACATGCAGAAAGCAAGCACCTGTGTTACCACAAAACAGCTAAACAGAAAACAAAATTGACTGAAATATAGCAGAAGGCTTAAGAGTGCCAACTAGTGTTCATATTGGCCAACTTCTACCAAAGGAATTTTTGCATTCACACACACATATATATTGGTAGTTAACTATGCTAATGGAAAAATGAAGTCTCCTTCCTTATACAATAAGGCCGTCCCAATGTACACGAAAGATGCAGTGAAGTCCAGGACTTACAGCTATAAATCTAAAGCCATTAACAGTTGCAATGTATTCAAGTAATATGAACATGTTTTCAAGTCGGAAAAAAGAAAAGGCTATATCTTCAAGTTCCTGATGCTTGTTTGAGTAAAGAAAAGATAACTTGAGGTTAACAAGTTTATAACACATGTAATAGTGCAGGTAAAATATTCATAGATGAAGCAAACATCCAAATCATATGGAATAGATCTAACCTTTCTTATAGCTTTTGAAACTGTATACCTTACATAAGACTTCAAGGAGCAGATTCACTGAGTAGTTGACAAACTCATAAAAAGATAATTTGTGGAATGAACATCTCCTCATTAAGGCTTTAATAAAACAAAGACCCGATGATGGCCAATCCGGCTCTCACTTAAGCGGCCAAGGTGACGAAGGACCTGCACGTTAATGGACAATTAACAAGGTAAAGTCAAATTTGAAGGAATAAGAGAGTATGGTAATAGCACTATCAAGTATGTTAAGGTTCAAAAGCCAGTTTTAGCATGGGATTCCTTCCTCTATTATTCCATTTTTGTGAGAGGATATGCTTCATGACCACAAACACTGAGTTGACCAACACTCTTTTGGAGAAATGAGAACAGTAAAACAACTAAGCATTCCAAACTTCTTGTATTGATACTTTGAAGTGCATTGAAACCCATATCTTTCCCAATGTTCACAATGAACCCACATCTATTATTTAAAGAGCCTTAGTGTGTTGATGCAAAATTAAATGTTGAGCTAGTTTTATTTGATTCCTCAAAAATGAATGGTATCATTGACCAAATGAAAGACGACTCACGGTTAATATTGCTTTCCCAGTATTATCAAGCTTCAGTGTAGGTCCTTTAACATCAGTTTCTAGAAAGAAGTGTTTGCCCTTCACTGCTTCTGCCATTCCTATCTCTCTTATTTCCTGCAATTGCGATGATAGGAAGGAGGGGTATGAGCAAAATTACTCCACAAGCCATTACATGTTAAAGAATTAACTCTATATATAGTTCATTCTAGCTTAGGATGCTAAAAATGTTGTAATATCAGCACCTAAACATTTATTGTGGTAGGTCACAAATAACCAAGAAATCAGGAATGCAGATCAAGTAAGAATACAATATACATAAGCAGCATAACCATTTAAACATCCTTACCAGAGCTTTCTCTAAGGTACTTTCAGTCAGCTTCAAAAAGAAAGAAAATCCTAGTCAGCAATTGTGAAATTCCTGTTACAACTAAAGAGCACAAATATAGTGGGAGATGTCTTCAGAGACCTTCTTTCTTGGAGCTGTAATAAGCTGAGCATTTGCCTCAGCATAAGCAGCCATGTCGCTAATGGCTGCATTGACCTTATCTAGAGTTAACCTTCCTCTCATATACCTGTATTTTTGGAATTTCAATCAAATAAGGTTTATAATCTCACTCAAGATCATTGACAGATGGACCCGACAATAAGGTGGCCATTAATTACTCAGCAAGTGTTGCAGTGTGAAAATTCACTCAATGTGTCCTGGAGAAGTTAATGAGCGATGGACTAGTAGAAAATAAACACAGATGATTGCACTTACGAGGACAAGGAATCCAGTTCATTAGCAGTAATGTACCACAAAGGTGGTGAACCACGACCCTTTTTCTCCTATGAACGCCAAAGAATATAGTCCGTGTTAGTAATTATGATAACTTAATCCATAGGGGAGCACCAGCATGATAAGCAGGAAAAGTGCTGGTGTATCTGAATTCATACAATACAAGTCTTATTTCTAATATGGAATTATGTTTTAGTATAGCAAGGTCATCTAGAGATGCAATGTGTTTCCCACAAAATAGATAATCAAGCTTTAAATGTGAACCATCTGAACAGAACCTCAACCAAGACTGCTAAAAGTCAGTTGGCATGGACTGATCAGCATAAAATGTACAGGAGGAAAAGGGTCTCACTTTGGGTAATGGTGCAGGCTCCTCCTTGGGTTCCTGAATTCCAAAAGAATGATCTTGTCTTGTAGGTTCCTCTTTCACATAACTGGAAACAAAATGTGAAGAATAGAATTAAGATTTAGGAGTGTTAGTGCTGGAATCATACCCAAAGAACTGCCAAGGATATGCAAAACAAAATAGACAAAGAGATGCCTTCACCATGAACTATTATCTTGATGCATAACTTTTTCCCTTTCAGGTAAATATGATGGTGCATATGCAGACATGCTCTGCAACTTCTGCTGCTGCTGTAGAGATGCTTGAATCAGCTTCTACAAAATAGAACAAGGAGCAATTCTGAGTCAATTTTAAAAGGATTGTAGTTGGGTAAGCCGTAAGCACTCAGTACTCTGTAATTCTGAAAAAACAAAAGCTATACTAGTACAGTAAAAGTTCTGTTAGCATTCTCGAGATTTTAGAAATGTGTAATGACTTATCTCACGGTTACATTCGCAGAACAAAATTTCACATCTATCTCCCAGCCTCTCCAATCTATCATTTGCTTCGATCCAACTAGCCTAGAGTTCAATTTCATTGAATCTTTCGACGTTCTCACAACATTTCACATGGTAATCCAATTTTTCCTATATCTTGTTATTCATGTTTTTATGTAGGTGGTCGGACTAGAGCCTTAAATTTGAAATATTATTTGTATAAACATTTTTATTATTGCCTATACAAGTTTGTTTACAAATTACATTGTTTAACCGGATCAAGTCCTAAAGAAACACAAATTCTGGTCAAATTTATGGTCCACCCCATTGCAAGGATAAAAAATTAAATTGAAAGGCATCACCTGTTTTTCTTTTGCATGAGCATTAAAAATTACAAATGATAAACATCCCCCAAGTATACTATACAAAAACCCTGAAATTTGAGAGAGAATTTATTGCTTGTACAAAGTGGTATTGGAACGCCCAACTAGTCCACTGGTCTAAGCGACACCGCAAAAAATTTAGGCCTTCTAGTCAATGCCCCAAGATCACTTACTTTAGCTTTAGGAATTGCTAGGGTTTCTTCACGCAACCGGTCTTTGATCTGCTGTAATTGAAGTTCCATAGCCTTCAACGTGGTATCAACAGCCGACAAGTCGGTGACGCTACTCGCAGGATACACTAAGCCAACAGAATAAAACAACATAAGAGCTAAAACTGAGAGATGGATTACAATTCAAAACCACACTTGAAAGATCTCCATAGTTACCAATTTATACATGTAATTTGCGTGGTAGACCGAAACGAGCTACGAGATTTAACTCAAAACATGACTCCCGTTACGGAACATTTTGTAGGTCGAGTGGACTTACTGTTACGGGCAACGACGAGATCTTGGAGCTCTGCAATGCGAGTGTTGAACGATGAAACTAAAGAATCCAGTGACAAGCCTACTTGCTTGACATCCATGGCGATCCTCTCTCTCTCTCTCTCTCTCACAGATTCACGCAGAGAGGTTAGTATCGGCGGGAATATAGAATTCAGATCTTTTGCTTGTTATTTTGAAGGGCTTTTGAATGAGCGGGATGCCCAAATAAACAATTAAATTACTACTACTTTAATGTGGGTGATAAATCCAAATTCCGTAAATATCTCTTATTGTTTAACGGATAAATTATTGTATATGATGTTGTATTGGATTAAGGGGCTTTTCGGTAGTGATTTAATGGACTGAGTAATATGTATGGTTTATTCGATACATAACTGTTCGGTTGTGGTTTATTGGATAAAATTAGGTTATCCGGTGAACTAAGAGAATTAGAGTCCTTTAGACTCAAATATTTATGAATCCATTTATTCCCCTTTTATCCGTTAATCTTTTATCCTCATCCCTCTGTGTTCTCCATCTTGCAAGACATTGATATCCCGGAATTCACCAAAAAATCGACCGTATTTGTTCTCCATATCTCACATAAGCAGTCTTTTCCGTTGTTCTGCGACTAGTCTCTTTCACCGTTCTCCAAGACTTCGTCAGTTGCTTTTTTCATCTATTTGGTTGCTTCTTCATCTCCATTGATCTGGTCTCTTTCTGGATTTGTGGCCTCCTCGTTCTCAATCTAGATCTCGATTTGGTTATTGGTCTGGATCTCGTTCTAGGTTGTTAGCGCCCTAAACCCTCTGCCTCACAATCGCCAGCCGTCTTTGCCCTCTTCCTTCTGCCTCACCCTTGGTTTTCCATTCTTTCACATATCTACACAATGATGTAATATAAGATATATTACTTGTGTTTATGGATGTTGCACTCAGATGACCAAATCAGTAAAACCAAAACTTGGTCACTACTCATTGAAACTTAGTGACGACTACACCAAACTTGCTCCCACTCTTGCCATGTTTGCTCATTATTCATCATCCAATCTTGGTCCCCTACTCTTTGTTTGGTTATAACTAACCATTTTGCCCCAACATTCTAACACACTCGGTTTCTCTTCTTCCTCTATATATAACACTCTCTCTAGCTAGTATATTTTTCTTATATATATGTGTGTGTGTGTGTGTGTGTGTGTGTGAGATACGAGAGTGTCCTTGAAATTCTTGATATTCTAGAAGACTTGCTAGTTGATTGTGGATTTAAAAATCATTGTACAAGCACTTGGTAATCTCCTTGATGATAATAATATTCTACTTTCTCTCTCTGGTGGACGTACACTATTACACTGATAGTGGAATCATGTTAAATCCCGTATTGTTATTTTGTGAACTTGTCATTTACATAGATAATAGCATATAATTGTTATTATCTATATATATATATTTTTTTTTGAGGGATGTTGTTTTCCAATAGAGTCATAGTTCAACATCTAGAACATTGTTATCTGCATTTATTATATCCTTGAATTTCTATTTTAAAAAGATCTTATAAATCAGTTGCTAACTTTATTATTGTGACACATCTTATCAACACACAATCCATCACTAGTTCAGTAAAACAAAACAAATGTTTAAAGCATCCCTGAAAATTAAGATTCTTTAATTGATATAGCCACCAAAATTTTGTGAAAATTAATATTCCTTCACTTCGTGATTTGTTAGTATTTTTATTGTTTTGTAGGATTCCTTTTGTGATCCGTCGATGTTCCTTCATTCATTTGTGAAATTTAATCTTAATTTGATATACAACTTTGTTGTAATACCGTTATTTCGTGAAATTTGATGTATAATGTTCAATGTAAAGAGTAAAATAATCATTTTTATCATTCAGATGGTTTATTCAACACAAATACCGAACAACTTATCTATTAACATATATATGAGAGTAAAAATCTCATATATATGGATACTCATGAAGTCATCGGTTCCTGTCATAACGGAAGTCATGGTTTCTCGTAAGAAAAGCGTAAGAAGGGATCTTCACTTTCGACCAATCTTAATTGAATCTCAACACTAATGAAATTCACCAGATCAATCCCCGTGAGAAACGCAATTCATTGGATGGGATGAGATTAAAAGTGATCAATGATCCAGATTTTTTCTTACACTTCTCATCTTAACTCCTATTCTCACACGATAATTCGTCTACCGACTAATATATCAAGTTAGCATACATATACATGTACATATTCAAGCCCAGTTGGCAAGGAGAGACATAAGGCCGGCACCAAGAAGAAGCGAAACATTTGAAGTAAGTAGAAGGATCTTGTTCTTTTGCATCCTAGGATCCTTAAAATCGGGTGAAAGAAGGTCGACAAGTGCCATATAAATCAAGATTCCAGCCGAAGCAGCATTTAACACGCCTTGCACGATAAGAGCAGTGGGACTGTTTTCTTCGTATGAATTGCTTACCAATATTCCAATCACAATTCCACTTGGAGTTGTAAGCGCAAAAAACACACCCATCAACATACTAGCCACCGACTTGATTTCCGCCTACAATAATTGCATGTGACATTATGTGTTTTTCTATCTGTTTTTCACTGTATGGATATAATCATATCATATATCTTCTTAGCATTATCGTTATTGTCGAGAAATGTTTGCTAAAATAAAATAGAGGTTTCGAAGGTTTGTCCCACATTGGTGGAGCAATGAAAGATGAAAGAGATTTAATGTCGATAAAAAGGGGTCCAACACTTGGGTTTCTAATTATAAATACACTTTAAAGGGGTTGTTTACCTAAATGTTTACTGGTAAGTGCTTAATGTTAGAGTCAACACTATAATTTGTTTTATTGGTAAGATTGTAGTATATCAAAACGTATCATATACAACAATTTACCTGGTAAGCGCTTACATGGGTAAGAGTCGTCACCCTCACTTACCGGGTAAGACTCTCCATTTTTATCATTGCTCTTACCAGGTAAGATTCTTAGTCCTTGCCATGTTCATCCAGTGAGGAAAATTACCGGGTAAGCATTTAGTAAACGGCCCCTAAGTATCTTATTATTTCCTTCATGTTCTCTTGATTTAAGAAAGGTGTGAGTTAAATCTTTGAGATAGTGGGTATTATTAAGTGAGCCTCGAGAGTTTAGAACTGTGTGGATTTTCTATGTGGAGGCCCGTGCTTTTTCTCCGGTTTTGAAGTTTCCACGTAAATTCTTGTCCGTTTTCTCTATGATTATTCATCGTTTGGGTTGTTGGAAACGCTGAGGCCAATTTCCGGAGAGTTATAACCATTAGAAAATCGGCTAAAATCATTCATTTTTATACATGTTTCAGTATTTCCTTTTTGTTGTACTTTAACATACAAATGTATGAATCAATTTGAAACGAGACTATAAGAATATGTACCTGAAAGATGCATCCGCCAAGACCTAATCCTTCGAAGAATTGGTGGAAAGACAATGCGGCAATAAGCGGCTTTATGGTTTTCGGGCTTTTAGAAGCACCTAACGATAATCCTATAATTACAGAATGGATGATGATTCCCAGTTCCAACACCTAAAATTTAAAACATAAACAACGCTTCACAGGAAGGTTCAAATGAGAATAAAGAAATTAAGGTTGGAACTGCATTTTAGCTAAAACCATTAATTATTGTTTGTTTTAGCTTAATATTGTAAGTAATCGCCGGAAAACATCTTTTTTCAGCAAATTATTTCAATAACTTTCAAATTAACTTAAAACTGTAATTGAAATTATTAATAATCTATAACTTAAAACTTATAAGAAACTCGTAAATCTTCTTTTTGTTTTGTCGTTAAAAAAAATACAGTATTATAATTTTGGATAATATCCATAAAAAAAGGTGTTTTTTATATTTAAAATATAGTTTTTAACAAAGATGAATCATACTCCATTTTAGTTTCTATCTATACTATATTATAAAACATTTGACAAAAACTCTTAAAAACCATTTTATATGATGAAATACTGTATATTTGTGCATATTACTTAAAATTCAAAATTACAAGTAAATTATGCATAAGTACAACTTATTAAAGCTCCATGTTTAAATTTGTGTAACTAACTGTAGATAAACATAATCAAATAGATGATAAACATCTCATTTTAAAATATAAAAAATCTAAAATATAATCAGGATAATTATTGAGTTCTAACAAAATAATTAATTATTATGTTTATAAAAAATTATACTATTAAACCAAATATAAATTACTTCGTTATTGAACTTAAATTAAATTATAATGAAAAAGCTGAATTAAAAAATTACACAAAAAATGAGGAATTTTAAATAGTTAATTTAACACTAATATCGATATATTTTTATCAAATTCTTATGATATCTTCAAAATCACATAAGACTATATTATAACATCAACCGAGATAAAAATCAAGATGTATCTCGCTGCATTGCGCGAGTACCATTCTAGTTATATTATAAAGCATTTGACAAACGCTCTTAAAAACCATTTTTATGCATGAAGTACTGTTTATCAATGTATGTTACTTAAAATTAAAATTTAATATTACAAGTAAATTGTGCGTAGATACAACTTATTAAAACTCTATTTTTGAATCCGTATGACTAACTGCAGATAAACATAATCAAATATATGATAAACATCTCATTTTAAATAAAATAATAATAAATATAATTAGGATAATAATTGAGTTCTAACAGAATTATTATCTTTATAAAAATTATATTGTTAAATCAAAAATAAATTACTTTGTTATTAGACCTATATTAAATTATAATAACAAAATGAATTAAAGAAATTGTATAATTTTTTTTAAATAATTAATTTTATATTAATATCGATATATTTTTTCAAATTGTTATGATATCTTCAAATTTATTTTTATTCAAAAGTAAAAACAATATCTTTCTCAAAACTACATAAACCGTAGTATATTAACATAGACAAAAAATAAAACAAAATACTAAAATGAAGATGTATCTCGCTACATTGTGCGAGTACCCTTATAATTTTTAACAATACACATTTTTTTACCCAATAAATTGTTCTTAAGTATTTAAGTTTTTTTATTTAATAATTTGTAAATGTTGATTAAGATACGATCTTTATTAAGTAACATCAATATTTTCATATTTTCTATAAATGCTATTTAAACCAAAAAAAAAAATATTCAATATCTTTTTTGGAAAAGATTGTAAAAATTGTAATCGTATTTTTTTTATATCGTTTATTCTATCGTAAATTTTACCATGTTCGTCTGCATTCTTAGATCAGATTCTAATGTACATTCTCATGTGATTCAATTGTATTTTATTATTGTTTTTGCATGTATCTGTATCTATATTATATACACAGAATTGAGTTTCGATGACTAGGAAAGTAAAAAATAAGAAACGTAAGAATGGATTTCCACATTTGGATGGACACTAGAATGAAATGCACCGGAATGATCCTTTTAATGAAGCATGATTCATATATGAATTTGATATTAAAAATGATCAACGATCTAGATCTTTTCTTACGCTTGTCACCTTAAATTTTCTTTTCTCATATATATATATACTATATTATAAAACATTTGGCTAAAACTCTTAAAAACTCTTAAAACTCTAAAAACTCTTAAACCCGTTCATCCCTATCCGATTTCATCTCATATTTGAATTCGTGTAACTAACTGCRGATAAACACAATCAAATACAGGATAAACATTTCATTTTAAATATAAAAAATCTAAAATATAATTAGTATAATCATTAAATTCTAACAGAATATTTAATTATTATCTTTATAAAATTTATAATATTAAACCAAAAATAAATTATTTTATTATTAAACTTAAATTAAATTATAAAAATATATATTTTATATTATAAATCATTTGACAAAAACTCTTAACAACCATTTTTTATGCGTAAAGTACTATTTATTAATGCATATTACTTAAAACTCAATATTACAAGTAAATTGTGCGTAGGTACAACTTATTAAAGCTCCATATCTGAATTCGTGTAACTAAGTGCAGATAAACACAATCAAATACAGGATAAACATCTCATTTTTAAATATTATTAAGATAATCATTGAGTTCTAATAGAATACTTAATTATTATCTTTATAAAATGTTATATTATTAAACCAAAAATAAATTATTTCATTTTCAAACTTAAATTAAATTATAAAAAAATCTATAATATATAGTAAAGCATTTGACAAAAACTCTTAAAAACTACTTTTTATGCGTAAAATAATGTTTATTAATGCATATTACTTAAAACTCAAGATTACAAGTAGATTGTGTGTAAGTACAACTTATTAAAGCTCCATATCTGAATTCGTGTAACTAAGTGCAGATAAAAACAATCAAATACATGATAAACATCTCATTTTAAAATAT